ACACAATCAGGATAACACAAGATTTAGCAGCTTCTACAGGACCGCAGGGCATGGAATATAATATTCCAGAGGGCAAAGGAGATAGGATTACAACCAAGAATCACCTACCCAGCAAAACTGAGTATAATCCTTCAGGGGAAAAAATGGTCATTCAGTGAAATAGAGGACTTTCAAGCATTCCTGATGAAAAGACCAGAGCTGAATAGAAAATTTGACTTTCAAATACAGGACTCAGTGGAACATGAAGAGGTAAACAGGAAAGAGAAATCATAAGAGACTTATTAAGATTGAACTGTTTACATTCCTGCATGGAAAGATGATATTTATAACTCATGAGACCTTTGTCAGTATTTGGAAGTAGTTGGAGGAAAAAAATTATATGTAGATAGTATATAGATAGATAATAGATAGAGGCACAGGGTGAGTTGAAGATTAAGGGGTCATATCTGGAGAATAAAATTAAGGGATGAGGAGGATTATACTCAGAGAAGAAGAAAGGGAGAGGTAGAATGGGGTAAATTATCTCACAAAAAAAAAACAGAAAAGAAAAGTCTCTTACAGTGGAGGGAAAGGGGAAGGTGAGAGGGAATGAGTGAATCTTATTCTCATAGGATTTGGCTTAAGGAGGGAATAACATACACATTCAATTGGGTATGGAAATCTGTCTTACCCTACAGGAAAATAGGGGGAGAAGGGGACAAGAGAGCAGGGGGATGATAGAGAGGAGGGCAGATTGGAAAGGGTAAATCAGAAGTAAATACTTCTGAGGAGGACAGGGTCAAAAGAAAGAATAGAATAAATGGGAGGGCAGATAGGATTAAGGGAAATAGAGTTAGTTTTTCACAACATGTCTACTATGGAATGTTTTGCATAACTGCACATGTACAACCTATATTGAGTTGCTTGCTTTTTCAATGAGGGTGGGTGGGGAGGGAGGAAGAGAGAAAATTTGAAACCTAAAGTTTTAAAAACATATGTTTAAAAAAATGTTTTCACATGCTACCAGGAAATAAGAAATACAGAAAATGGGGTACAGAAGTCTATCCTGCCCTACAGAAAAATAGAAAGGGAAGGGGATAAGAGAAGGGGGGAGAGAAAAAAAAGAGGACAGACTAGGGGAAGGGGTATTTAAAATGCATGCCATCTTGGGGTGGGGGAGGGGTGAGATGGGGTGAAAATTTGGAACTCAAAAACTTGTGGAAATGAATGTTGAAAACTACAAATAAATAAATTTATATTTTAAAAAAAGAAATGGAAACAGTGAAGAGAAGATCAACTAACATGGTTGATGGGATAGAGGAGCTAATGTTTGAGGATGAACTGGACAACATAACTTCATTCTGGAAAAAAATGAAAATTTTTGTAAAAAGTACATACAATCGTTCTAGGCCATAGATGAGGGACACACGGACTTTTCATGCAAATTCAGGTATGCTAGGCTTAGGGGAATATCCCTTCATGGTTTACAAAGGTAAATCTAGAACAAATTTTTTACCTGGTTTGCAGCAAACTTAAGCCTAGGCAGTTGAAAAATAGAAATAAGTTTAAGAAGAGATTACTAATTTTAACAGAAGATAGATTTATGTTAGAATACTAAGGAAATTTAGTATATTTTGGAGGATATGTGATTTACTAGCTGTGTGGGACCAGGCAAGTCATTTAATCTCTGTTTGTCTCAGTTTCCTCATCTGTAAGTTGGGGAAAATAATAGTACCTACCTCCCAGAAGCATTGTGAGAATCAAATGAGAAAATAATTGTAAAGGGCTTAGCATAATTCCTGACACATAGTAGGTGGTATGTAAATGTTAGGTACAATGATGACAGTGACAACAATGACAATGATGATGATGATGATATCTCTAATCTTTTAAGATAGTCTCAGTAATTAACAATCTTGCCTTCCAATAAAATTATTCTTAGTACAATTCCTTTATTTCCTCATAGTACTTTGCCTGGATCTCTTCTATGCAATAATTTCATTATCCTTTTGTATCATAATTATTTAAATGTCCCCAAACTCCACTTGTTTATAATTTCCTTGACATAAGGGACTGTGTTATATCTATTTTATCATTCCTAGCATATAACATAGAATCTTTCACAAAGTAGGTGTTCAATAAATGTTTGTTGAGTTTAAGTGAATCAAATATTTATAGAATAATATAAATACGCAGTATAGAATTGAATAAATAGACCAGTACAACACTTCTCATATATTCTCATGGTCATAGATTACATATCTGGCTCTTACCAACTATTTCCCAGATGTGTGATATTAGTCATCAAAGCAGTGAATAGGAGAATGAAAGTGTTACTTATTTAGTTTCTCTTTTAAAAGACATAAATTCTGACATACTATAGGAAAGGAAACATTTATATAGCACCTGCTATGTGCCAGGTACTGTATTAAACACTTTAAAATATTATCTCATTTGATCCTCACAACAATCCTGGGAGGTAGGGTACCCCTGAGAGTTACGTGCTATTATTGTCCCCATTTTACAGATGAGGAAACTGGGGCAGGCAGAGGTTAAGTGACTTGCCCAGTGTCTCACAGCTAGTAAAGATTTGGAATCATGTCTTTCTGACTCAAAAGCCAATGCTGTATTCACTGTACCACTTAGCTGTCCCTCTCTGATTTTGCCAGACCCCCCGTTCTAAATTGGAAGGAAGGCATTATGGCTTATCTTTATATATCCTACATTCCTAGTCCAGTGTCTTATCTGCACCAAGAACTAAGTGAATATGTATTGATTTTAATTGCACAGGATTTAATGGTTCTTCACAAAGCCCTTGTTCCTCGTGTTAGAAAACGATTCTCAGGACATGCTCTATTGATAGAAGTTATTAACCTAGAACCTTATTTGCAAACGGCAGAATAGATATCTATCTATATATTTATCTATATCTGTATCTGTCTGTCTATCTATCTATCTATCTATCTATCTGTATAAACATTGCCTAATAATTTTACCTAGTGTTTAGAACATAAATGACCAACCTACTTTATAAAAATGGAAAATGGAGCAACTTTGAACTCAGAATCTTAATTCTTTTCCATATGTTATTACATCTCACTTGTGATTAAAAAAAAAAAGATTTAATGCTTTTATATTATGAACAAACCTCCCCTTTTACTTTCTTTTATTTAAAATCATTGAGTACTGAAGGACGTGATTTTAGAAAGTTTTCATTTTTTCCTAAGAATATATGCTATAATACTTGAATACTTGAACACACTGAGAGCTCTGTCAATATGTGGGAATTCACTCCACCAAGGAAGATCACAGCTTCTCTAGGCTTTTAATAAGTTGCAATGGTCACCTTTGCAAGGACAAGAATCCATAGTCAAATTAAATCCCTCTTGACACTCATAACTTGGAGGGGTGTTACCTTCAAGGGCTTAATATAAATTCCCTTTGTTAAAAATCTCACAAATAAAGGTTCCTTCCTAGAAAACTGTACTAATTTATGTTTTTATCTATATTTCTTGTTTGAAATACTTGTAATATTTTGACAAAATAGCATTTAGTATGCTCCCAAGTTATCTGTGTAGTACAGATTCATAGCACAAAATTGTACACAGACCTAATTCGCTACACTTAATTGTGGAAATACACAACAATATTAAGAATGGCTCTTTAAGATATATAACAGATCAGATTTACATGATATGAATAAAATCACATGTGGGGAAATAAAACGCTGGGCCTTTTTGTAATACAAATTCAATGATATAAAAAATCTCTACATTTAAACATATCTTAGCCCCAACATATAAATAGAAGCACATAAATTATTTCATCCACAGAGGGATATGCTGAGTTTCATTTATTAGATTCACAGGGATCTTGGAAAACCACCCAGTTCTTATTTCCATCTTCAAATTTAATCACATTTAAACAAATCAAGAGAGAGAGAGAAAATCCTATTTTAAAAGTCCCTTTATATGAAGGATGTTCCATATTGCATATCAAACATGCTTTCTCCATCTGTAGGACTCAAATTAAAGTGTTGATGATGTCTTGAACTGAGTGAATGAATTCAGATTCACCTAGATAACTTTCTGTCTCCCCCCTCCACTTCACTCTATCTTACGCACTCTAAGTAGCATCTTAAAAAAACCCCCAAAGAACAGGGAAAGTAATGAATTAGCCTTATATTTTCTAAATAATAAATTTCCCAAATAAGATAAACATGCATAATACTAGAAATGTTTTGAGAAAGAGCCAAATTGAGAAGGCACATGATTTCTCAATAGGAAAGATAATCACAAAAATGTAAATTTCTATCATAGCTATGTGAACAAGAAGAAAGAAAAACAAAGTGTTCACTTTCCATTTAAAAATTTTCTACCTTAGCATGAGTTGCTTCAGTTTCAGATTAAAAGGTGCTGGGAAACAAAGTGTAAGGGAGATTGGTGAGGGTGTGGGAGGCAGAGAGAGGAAGGAAGAAGAATGATACCGATTACTATGAATGTTTCTAATTTAAAACAAGGTTCATGGGGCTCTAACTAAAAAAGCAAATGAATAGAATTAATTTAGGGGTGACATTATAACCCTTTGAATATTTTATCCTATTTTTAAAAATGCAAATGGTTTGGAAAGATTTGTAAAATGGTTTAATTTATCCTCATATGATCCTAGAATTAATAAAAGTAAAACAAAATCTGAAATTTTCTGCAGCTTAAAAAAAGAAAATATTATAATTTGCAATCCTAATGCTTTAGTTTACATTTCCAGATTGCCATGTGGAAGCAGAAAGAGTTAATTTGTATACTGCATCACAAAGAGCAAATATATCCAAGGCTAGTGAGGGACCTTGTACAATTTTTTTCACTTTGTTCTGAAATATCTGAATAGAACTTAGATCTAAAATAACCAAACATTATTTTAGGCTTTCTTATGTCTCCAAACCTCACTGGTACCTCATTCCTGAGCAATGCAAACATCATGGTAGTAAGACATTTCCAGGATATTTTCTAGAGTAATACATTTACCCAGGACCCACGGTAATATCATCCACTCGACGATGGTTGGTGGTGGCCCCTGCCTGTTCAAGTCTGACCTGTCAATATGTTGAGAGGCAAGCAGCAGCAGGAACAGAAATGTCAAATAAGATGCAGTGTGGCAGATAAACTTGATAAATGGTTTCCTGATGAAGAGTCCAAGGGGGCTTTTGGGGGCTATCAGGTAGCATACAGAGAAGACAGGGAAAAGAAGTCCTATGACGAAGCATGTCAACATCTTCACTGCCCAGTGTCTTCTCCTCCAGCCTGGGAACTCATCGTACCAGCGAGATGCAAGGAGCTGCTGACAGTTCGGTTGTGCAACAAACTGAAACAAGAGAGGAAGAGAGACAGGGAGAGAAAGAGGGAAAAGAAAAGTAAAGTCGGTATCACACAAAATAACTTTTATCTCATCACTTAGATCATTGCAGTCTCAAAAGTCAAGAGGCCCTTTGCAGCTTAAAATGCCTTATCACTCATTGTGGAAAATGCTTACTTTCAATTCAGTTAAATAAAAATGAATGATTATCTACTTGCACAAAGTGCTGTGCTTGACACTGGGGTTAAAAAGACAAAAACAAAAACCAAACAAAAAAGACCTCGTCCTCAAGGAACTCATATTCTTCTGTCATAAATGAAGTTGAGAGGAACATAAAGAGGTATCAAACATAGTGTCTACCCTCAGAAGGCTTGTAATCCAATTGGGAAAATAGAACTTCTATGTAGGTAAAGATGATGAGCAATATTAGATAGCAAATGATTTGGGCTGGACCAAGCATTTCAACTCTGACCTGTGGTCCTGTGCTCCTAATCGAGAATTAACCGCAAGTAGGTCAATGCCTAGGCAGACGTGGTGCATATGCCCTTCTATTCTGGAAATAGAATTCCAATTGAGACTATCAGTTCTAGAAACATATGTCAATTAATTGCTCTGTAATTCCACTCACCAGCTTCTTCATCACTAGACTAAAATACTTCTTCCTGGCTACCATTTCTCTATATGTGTTTTATTTTATTTTATTTTATTTTTTCCTGTTAGAATGTCCTTGGGGAGAGAAGCTTTCTTGCTTTTTGTATTTGTATCTTCAGTGCTTGACACAGTACCTAACGCAGTAATAACTTAATGAATGGCTTTTCATTCATTCATTCATTCATTCATTCATTCATTCATTCATTATATAGATTTTCACTCAGAGGAGGGCCAGATCACTTCCAGCTCGATCAGATTAAGATAAAAAGTGATATTTGAGCTGGGATTTGGTGAAAGGGCAAGATTTAGATAAGCAGAAAAGTAGGAAGAAGGTATTCCATGAATGGTCCTAGTATCATAGATATAAGATCTAGAAGGGACATCGAGGGCAACATAGTCCAATTCCCTCATTTCACATAAGAAGAAACTGAGGCCCAGTGAGGCTAAGTGACTTTCCCAAGGTCAGTTGCTATTAATCATCAGAGACAGGCTTTTAATCCAGGTCCTCTGACTCCAGAGTCAGGGTTCTTTCTTCTGTAATTAAGACGTGAGCAAAAGCGTGGAGGTTAGAAATTGTAAGGTATGTGCTAGGGTACAATGAACAGACATCTTTGCCTCATGAAGATTTATATAGATTTTCTTAGTATTAGGAGATAAAATTAAACAGTTAAGTTGGATCTAGATCATTGAAGTCCTTGAATGTCAGAGAAAGGAATTTGGACTTTACCATGAACCTAAAGAGGGTCATATAATCATAATTAGATCTAGAACTAGAGGCCTCTCATAGGCCATCACGTCCAATTTCCTCTTTTTGCAGATAAGAAAATCAAGTCTAGTGAAGTGAAATGATTTGACCAAAGTCATACAGCTAGTAAGTATCAGTGACAGAGTTTAAACTAGACAGCACAATGGAAGGTCTGGAATCAGGAAGACCTGAGTTCACATGTGGCCTCAGACATTAGCTATGTGACCCTGGGAAAATAACTTAGCCCTGTTTGCCTCAGTTTCCTCATCTGTAATGAGCTGGAGAAGGAAATGGCAAACCCCTCCAGTATCTCTGCCAAGAACCTAATGGAGTCACAAAGAGTCGGACAGGACTGAAACAACTAAACAACAACCACAACAACAACCACCACCTTTGATTCTAGAGCCAGAAGCCACTTACAGTATTTTATTAGGGGGTGTAAATTAGTGTATAGGAATCTGAGGGAGGCAGTCTGGTTAGAAGGCAAGCTTGCTAACCTAGGAGTGATACATGAAGAATCTGGGCTACAGTGATGAAGTAGAAACAGGCTGTAATCCATTTTTCCTTTATACAAATATGCAGTAACTTTGTACGCTATCTCCCCAACTGAAGTGGAGAATAAATGCCCGCTATGTGCTCAGCATTGTGCCAAGGGATGTGGTTTGCTCATTTTGCGTCTCCACATCGCCTGACACAGTGCTGAGTACTTAGTGGGGCCCAATAAATTTTTATTAAATTAAACCAAAATGAATTCATAACACATTTGGCATCCCCAAAACTTTTCTCAATATAGATCAAGCTGCATTCTTGGATGGTTAGGTTAGTCAGGTCTACTCTTATTGCCTTGATGAGTCATCTGTTCAAGGTAAGCACCATAACCCTTAAATGGTAAAGTTAAACTGTATTATTCAAAGGATGAGCTTTGCCTGACATATCCCTTGCCAATTTTCTCACTCAGGGCCCGTAATGGCAGAAGTATGACATACTTTGGGCTAATTCATTATGCATCAGCAAAGTCAAGTCCAAAAAGGACATCTTCTAGGTGACAGCAGCTACTTTTTTCTGAAAGTTCTGTAAGTCAAATACTTCTTTTTTTCCCTTTACAATAGCCCATTGAGATGCCTTTTTAGAAACTCCTTTCTTGGCAAAGAATAAAATCATCTGAATTCTAATGTGGCTTGGTCCATTTTCCTAATCTTCAATAAAAGAGTCAAGGAAATGGAGGAGAGGTATAAAACATGAGAAGGAAGTACTATCATCTCATTAATTCTCATAGGTCTAACAGATATGAGAAGAAATGGAATTTGAGGAAAGAGCTTCAAAAGGCCATCCTGAATCTGCCAACTAGAATTGTTAGGGACTAGTCACAGAGGCGGGCAACCTGCAGCCTCCAGGCCACATGTGGTTCTCTAGGTCCTCAAGTGCGGCCCTTTGACTGAATCCAAACTTCACAGAAGAAATCCCCTTAATAAAAAGATTTGTTCTATAAAACTTGGACTCAGTCAAAAGGCCACACTCAAGGACCTAGAAGACCACATGTGGCTTCCAGGCCACAGGTTCCCCACCCCTAGTAGAATCAACAACATTGCCTCAGCCAGCATTCCAGTAGCTACTCTACGAATAACTCAGGCCCAGAGGTTAGAAAAATGTCTTTCGGAAGCATTTATAACTTAGGTGGACAAGTAGGTCTTTCACCTAAAGACTATTCACTGACAGAGACTGAATGTCTGGGCCTTATATGCCATTTTTATTTTTGATTTCTACTTAATTCTCACTAAGACATGAGTTAAAATGTGGCTTCAAATTCTTAGTAGCTGTGTGACCCTAGGCAACTCACTTTAACCCCTGTTTGCCTCAGTTTCTTTATCTGTAAGATGGGGATAATAAAGGCACCTACCTCTGAGGGTCGTTGTGAGGACCAAATAAGATAATCTTGAAGCACTTAGCAGAGTTACCGGCACATAGTAAGCACTACTACATAAATGTTAGTTATCATCATCATCATCATCATCATTAGTGGAGCAAGTTTCAGTTTACTAGATTAACTATTTACTCTGAGGCCTGATAAATGATCTACATGAAATTACTCTGGAAATGAGCTGTACAATGTTCTCCCCACAAGTATTGGCTCTCAGAACTTCTTTTAACAACAACAAAATGATTGTAGGGATGCATTCAAACCAAATTAGTAGATACATCTGCCTACTGCTTCTATTCATCGCTAACATGGATGGGATAGAAGAGGGCTGCCTGCACCTGGGATTTCACTGCTAGAGGAAATGCCTCATGAGAAAAGTCCCTCCACCTATGTCTATCATCACCTATCCCACAACTTATAGCCTTAGAGTGTTGATATGACATATAAAAATTCCAAGGAAATATTTATTTTATACATTTTAAACAGTTCGAACATAAGAAGACAATTATGGCTTGTAAAGGAGGCATCAAAACATTAACACATACATCATAAAACTGGAATATCAATAGGAGGGTATGAGAAGGGTGTGAGCAGATGTGGGTACTATAAAAAGTCTCTAAAGGTCTTGACATTAATTGCAAAATGTGATTTTATCTACTAACAGAACTGAAATTGCCCAAGAACTATTTCTACAAACAAGAATAAATCTAAATCTTTACTCATGTCCTTTTACATTCCACCCTTCTATCAGATTTTGACCCATTATACTATTTTAATTCAGTCTAAAATAGACTCATTTTTGCTTCAAAAAGTTTTATCAACTATAATATTTAAATGAGTTATGATTTTTCTTAGAATAATGACCCCAAGAAAAATAATATTTCTAATTGATCAATTAATAATATTTTAAGTGTGTACTATGTGCCAGGCAAACACTCTCCCTGCTCCCCTCCAAAAAAAGATAGGAATGAAAAATAATTTCATATTTATTTTCACCATAACTTTTCTATTTGTATAATAATTTATGAATTTAAATTACTGTTGAAATCATAGTGTTTTCTGCAAAAGTATTTAGCTTACTTTTCTTTTAAATTAAAAGCATGTTAGTAGTGCTGAATAAATTTTCTAGAGTAAAACAGTTAGGTGGCACAGTGGAAAGAGCTATGGGCCTGGAGTAAGGAAGGCTTGAGTTCAAATTCATCAAGTCACTTAACCTCTGTTTTCTTTGTCTTTAATATGGGGATAATAACATCCACCACCTTGTGGGTTTTTTGTGAGGATTAAATAAAATAATATTTGTAGAGGTCTTAGCGTAGTGTCTGGCATATAATAGGTGGTTTATACATGTATATTCCTTCTGACCTTTCTCATCTCCACTATCATGACAAACATGATCATATTCACGGCTAGCCCTTGGTACAAGTGGTCACCTGCATTATGATATCAGTAGTATGAGTCCTGAGAGGGAGGTGTTAGAAGTCCCACTTCCAAAGTACATGCAAATACGTGCCTAAATAGTATTAACACTCATCAGTCCATCCAGAATCATAAGGAATCCGTCACATTCAAAATCTAATTAGAGGGGCAGCTAAGTGGTACAATGGAGAAAGCTCCAGCCTTGGAGTCAGGAGGACCTGAGTTCAAATGTGACCTCAGACACTTGACACTTAGTAGCTGTGTGACCTTGGGCAAGTC